ATGCATGACTCCTAACTATGTAAGATGCCTAATGCAACACATGCGATAATGTAACTAAATAGGCTCGGCTACCTAATCTTGGTATTTGCAACACTTTGAAAGCATGCTTTGAAACACGTATTCAAAGAACTATTGAAATTACAATGCAGTTTGAATGATGCGCCGAGCCTCGGTGCATACAAGACAAACGAATGGATGCAAACATGCAAGCATAAGGTATGCTAATTGAAATATGTCCCTAATCTAACCATCAAAAGCAATTAAATAAAAGGGAGAAAGACGTGGAGTTGCAAGACATGCACACACACACGAACACTTATTACAATATTGTGCCCTCGCGAAGGAGGGTCCGAATGAATAATTAGCTAATTTAAGCTAAGCTAATTAGTACAAAACAAAATAAAGAAATAGCAAAGCTAAGCTACTTAATTATTACAACAATCAATTAACTAATCTAAGCCAATCAAATACATATTGCGATAATTAATTAAACTCAATTAATTAGGTACAAAACCAGCTCAAAAATAAAAACTAGTTAAACTTGAGACGCATCAAATACGCATGCGTGGACTTGTCTTCCACCCGGAATGCCACAGCTTGGCCGTTGACTGCCTCTGTTTGCACAGTTGAATTCTGGTATGTTGAAAGGGCACTGTTCTGAGAGTACATCAGTGGTTGGCCGGCCACTAATGGGGGCTGTCGGCCATGTGCTTGCTACAAAAGGGCACTACCGGCCATCAGTGAAAGGCTGCCGACCATCAATGTATGGCCTGCCGACCACTGATGAACAACTTCATTTTGCAGCAATCAAAGCACAACACAGAGCAGGAAAAAAAGTAGTTTCACAGGTTGTATGTACTATGTGCCACTCTTTATCATCAAAACATCTCCAAATAGTGGTACTCTTGGCTCCAAAACCACCAACCAAGCATTTTCAATGCATGATGGCCAAAGAACCAAGGAGTACAATTTCATTGTATACAAAAAAACAAGATTCATGACCATCGCCCTATTATGTGTGATCCAGGGCAATGGAGACCAAAGAGATTGGCTCATTTCATCACTTTGAGTATGAAATGCTCCAATCTTCCTTGTGTTCAATGTAACGTCTGATTGAACAACATGCAATGCAACACAACATGCTTATCTTGCTCAAGTTTTACTTATCACTTTTGTTTACTCATTTCAGTTACCGATCCATTCTTTAACCGGTTAGTCCAATAGTGAGTGTCCTCTAATGGAAGTGGTGTCAACCAAGGGATGATTTAAGGCATGAGAGAGGTCATGCCGTTGGTTAGTAAAAACCCTCAAAAGAGGATTAAAACCATTAAGCACAAACCTCAATCTCAAGCTTAAACACAACCCTAAGGCTAAACAACCCTCAAAGCAAATTAAAAAGTGAAGAAGTGAGGAGGTTGCAGATATTTTAGTGCTGGAATTAGGCATGAAAAAGCATTAACACATGCAACCAAGGGACACAAATGATGTTCAAAGCCCAAAAACACTAAGCTAGTGAAGGAAATAACCCTACAGCTATGCAAAACAAGCCTCAACTGATGCAACCAGCCCAAAAAAGAGCCAAAATAGGCCAAAAAAGTGGCAAAAACATGCTGAGATTAAACTACAAAATGCTAGAAAAACATGCTCACATGATAGGCAACTAGGCATGCAAGCAAGACAACAAGGAGGGGAGATCATCCCCTCCAATTTTGGGCTTCAAAACATGGTTTTTGTCACTAAAAAAATTGTGAGATTTAGTGGTTTAAAAGCCCAAAAAGTTTGATTTAAAAGCTTTGAAAAAAGGCACAAAAGCCTAACAAGCCAAGTAGTAAAAGGGTGAACCACCCCCAACTCAAAAGGGGCCTTAAACCACCATTTTTAAACCATAAAAACAGAGATTTTAGGAGGTCAAAACCAGCTCAAAAATAGTATGTAAAGATGGCAAAACAAGTATTTAAAACAAGAGTAAAATACAAGTGTTCTACCTCTTGAAGACAATATGCAATTGGAGAAACAAAACAAGCTAAATCAAGCCAAACTCCTCTTCTTGAGCTCAAACAAAACTCCAAGAGACCTTAGCTCCAAGGTGGTCAAGTTTGATCAAGGGTTCATGCATAAGTGTAGAGAAACTGGACCTTAAGGCATAAAACAACAAGAGAGAGGGAGAATTCTAGAGAGAGAGAGAATTTTTGTCTTCAAAATTTTCTAACCCTCCTACATGCAAGAGAAGGGTCATATATACAGAAAATACAAATTCCCTTCACAAAGATCCAACCACACACATGTTAGCAGATGCATCAACTTGTGTATACAGCTGGCACAAAATATCACAAAATATCTGCTTGAATGGCCAGTAAGGCTACATTGATGGCCGATAAGGCACATCAATGGGTGGCAGGCCAAAACCCATGGTCGTCAGCCTTCAAGGATGGCCGGCAGGCCATCAACAACCTCATGTTGAAAAGACCCGAGCATTGTCCAAAGATGAGGCAAAAGAGATGCAGGGTTTGGAAAACTCAAACCTGTGGCGTTCTACCGTGGATTTCGAGTGTTACGTGAGCAATCAGACCCACCTTCGGATGTACCTGCAAGAACATCCAAGTCTTAAAGGGCCATCAAAAATGGGGTGTCTACAGGCCTCTTCGCTCGAGCGAGGCTTCTTGCGCTTGAGTGAGCCTTTGGTAATTTGCTTCTTCGCACGAGCGAGGTTTCTTGCGCTTGAGCGAGAATTAGGAGTTCTTAGGTTTCCTTCCAGACGCAGCTTTTCTAGGAAAGGTGAAGTTCTTTGCTCGAGCGAGGTTTCTTGTGCTCGAGTGAGCTTTGTGTTATTTGTTTCTTCACTCGAGCGAGACTTGTTGCGCTCGAGCATGTGTCTGCATCTTTGGCAAACCTGAAGTTTTGCATTCTATGCTCGAGCAACGCTTCTTGCGCTCGAGCGAGGTCACTTGTTGTGTCTTGTCGCTTGAGCGACGACTCCTTCACTCGAGCTAGGACTGCATATATCAGTTCGCAGCAGAGCATTTTTGTATCACTTTGTGCACTTCTTCTCACTCAAAACCCTAGATCGGCTGTCTCTCTCTACAAATCCAACTTCTCTCTACAAACCCCTTTGAATCTAAGAGTTTTTACTCTACTTCCTTTGAGAAAAAGGTGTACCATCTTGTGGGCTTCCATTCCATCCAAGTAAAGCTTGATTTTGGGGATTTCCGAGATTCTCCTTCTTGCTCTTTGAGCTTTACTTTTGAGGTAGGGATATTCTACTCTTTAATATGAGTTTTAACCTAGGTGTTTGTCATTTTGTATAAATGGTGGGATTGGGAAGATTTGGGTGAAGTTAGGGTTTGGATTTGAATTTTTGAAAGAGGGGCTTTCTATATTTGGCCCCATATATGTATGTGGGGTCTTGATTATGATGTTATATGAGAATAAGTGGTGAGATTGAGCCTTGGGGTTGATATTTGAAAAAGGGGGAGATTTTCCCTAATATGAGTTAAATAAATTATTTGTATAAATAAAGAAATTGATACGAGAAATATGAAATTGGAAGGATGTATAAATGGAATGTGTAGTTGGTTTCGATAAATCACTCTCCCATGGAAAATACGATAAATTACCTGTTTCTATGATTGTTGTAGAAACTGCATGAGGATTAGGTAAATTGAAACTCATCATGCGGATTGTATCATTGAATATGACGGTTTGATTAAACCATTGAATATGTGATTTGGTTAGTCATTGTATATGACAATGCTTTTAAATACATTGTATATGTACCAGTGTTTGAAAGGAGATAGGGGATGTACTCCATTGTTTGGGAGAAGATAGGGGATGGACTCCATTGAAAATTAAGTTGGCCGGAGTGTCCAGGGTGAAAGTCCCGAAATGTTATATATATATGGGTGCCAGTTCCCTTGGATGTAATTCCGTAAAATGACAAGAAAATGGAAGTGTTTAAATAATGGTTGTTATTGAAGTGTTAATAAATGAGTTGTAGTCTCGTTTTGAATTGTTTAGATAATAATGAACTATATCAATGAATTGATTTGGATAAATGAAAAGAAATGGACTGAGATACAGATGTCGATATTGATTGGTCATGGAAAGGGTGTAAGTTGGTTTGCAAGTATTAAACATTTATCTGATGCTGATATCTTAGTTAATTCTCATATATTGTTTTAGCATATCTCTGCTGGACTTTGGCTCACCCTACTTGGGAAACCATTTTCAGGTACAGGTGACATGCCACCTCCAAGGGCATAGTTTGAGAGGACGGGGCTGAAGGCTCTATTTTTGTTACCTATATGTTTATATGTTTTCTTCTTAAACCGAGAGCTTTAATTGTAAAGAGCTTATAACTCTCTTTTGTTGTAACCAAGTTATCTCTTGGAAAGATGTAAGCCCGTAGGGCATTTATTTTGTTGTTAGTGACTAGTGTTAGATGCTGTAGTTTCAGAATGAATATTTATGAAAGTGCAATTTTGTAAAATAAACTCTGATGAATAAAAGTAATACATTTCATATTATGCTTGTGAATCTCTTGGCACTACAACAAAAAAAGGTTTTTACGGCGCGCAATGCTCGCTGTAAAAACCCTTCTATGACGTGCAGTGCACGTCATATTATTACCAATCATGGAAAGTCATTCACTTTCAACGACATGCTTCGTACACCGTTAAAAACTATTTAACGGTAGATTTTGTACGTCGTTGTTACCTTTTCGACGACATACTAGGGTACGCCGTTAAAAACTATTTAATGGCAGATTTTGTGCATCATTGTTACTTTTTCTATGACTATTTTTGCACACCATTAATTGGTGAGATAAATAACGACACTGATTGGGTGCCGTAAAATATCTAATACAACGACTTATTATGCCTGTCATAGAATATGCAGTTTTTTTATTATTTTAAATTCAGCATGTTCTATTTGACCAATTTTATACAATCTAACAAATATTACAAACAAGCATCACAAAACATCAATCAACCACCAAAATATTGTTTGAAACATCAAAAAGAAACTATATCCATAAATTATAAACATTCAACAATTATCTATACATTCCAAACATCCGAAAACTACATCCTTAAGTTCTAAATTGTACAAAAAATTTAAACCATCCAAAACTATGCATATTTAACTTTCTAAACATATCGACAATTATTAAGAGATTATCTAAAACTACCGACAACAGTTCCTATAGCAGTTGCAACTGCAGCTGCAGTTGTAGCAAATCCACTTGCTCTTATCACAGCGATGAGGGTGCCCAATGTACGTGTTAAGGCACCTAAATCTGCAACAATAGTTGAAGCAACTAACCCTATTGCATTTCTTGTCTACATGACAAAGGAAACTTTACATAAGTACAAAAACCAACGACTCAGGGACAAAAATATTTCTTAAGGTATTAAGAAATGATCAAGAAATTTTAAAACATCAACAAAATATTTCCAAAATTAATAAGATAATTCAATGGCCCCATAAAAGCAATGTAATAATGAAAAATTAGCAAAAATTCAAGATCTCAATAGTTTGCTACTAAATCTTGGCCATAAGAAGCTCAAGAGAAAAATCAAATTTAAAAAGAGGAAGAGGTGGAATCAATCTACTTCAATGCAGCACCTACTTGGGACTTGCATAATTATGTTAAAGGATCTCTATGTATGAGGTTTAGGTTTGTATAGATTTCATCCATTACCATTGTAAGTTCAAAAATAAAGAATGCAAATCAAATTAGAGTCTAAATTATTTACAAGTTTAAAAAGAAACTTTCAATCCATTATAGAAGAAATTTAGGTAAATTTTAGTAGCTTTAAGCGCTTTTGGGGACAATGTGATGTAATTCTACCTGAGTACTTAGTCGCAACTTAACATAAATAATTTTTTTTTAATAATATATATACCTAATCTAATATTTTTTTGAATAAACTAAAATCAACACAATGTCAAAATACGGTAACAGCAACTGATATTCTTCTTTTATATATTAGAGATCATTGGATGGGTGTGTCATGAAAATTAAGTATTTTTACTTATTTTATAAAAAAAAAAATAATAATAATAGATGAAGAGGGAAAGATACATAAACTCATGTAATAAACTAATGTAATAAAAAGTAATAAACTGAAGCACCCAAGAATTCCATGACTAAGCCTTTGGATCATACAGGGAAGTAAAAAAAAAACAATTTTGTTTTCCCCCATAGAAAACAATTTTCCCTATCATTTCCCACACAAGAAACAATTTTGAGACCAAACCCAATGAAATTAAGTAGAAAAATCAGAAATCAATTTTTCCTGCCTTTCCCTCACAGAAAACTATTTTGAGTCCAAATGCAATATGGGTTTACAAAATGAAACTACAAACTACCTATGAATTAAAATGAATCAAAAAAAAATTCTTACAAAAAAACTTTTGATGCTGCTACAAGCTACTATAGCAGTTGGTAAAATAATAATGTGGCTATTTGGTGTATTTCAAGCCAAAAGCTGATAACATAAAATAGAAACTAGAAGCACCCTTCTCCTATTTCTCAATAATTCAATTTTTTCAGCTTATTTAAAATCTTTGTATCTTATAAACTATAACCAGAAACTGCATATCACATATTTTCAAAAATAAAAAAATATATATAAAATATAGAAGAAAAAAAACTCTACAAAATGTATACATTAGTTATCCTACATCTTAATGACCTTCCTTTTCTTTATATATTCTCTGCATTGTGGGCATATCTTTAATTAGTGACAACTAAAAATATGAACAAACTAAGCTAAGTAACAAGCAAGAAAGAGAAGAAACAAAACAGAAACAAAACAAAAACAAAAGACTTACCAGTGGCAGCATAGCATGAAGTTAAAGATCCTACAATGTTCATGAAGCCCATGGCCAACATTTCCTTGTTTCCATCAAGATGGTATCCTTTTATGGATGCAAAAGATAGACCAACCGCAATGGCTTCCTGAAGTTGGCACACGTATCAAGACACTTTTCACAAGAAATTCAAAATGTTCATGAATAATGTTGAAGAATAAATGGAAGGGAATAAATAGTGATGAGGAATGCACCATGAGAGCGACAACTGCAACAATCAGTCCAATTTTAGTCACTTCTGAAGCATATGGGTTGTTGAATTGCAACTGATGGACTAAGATTGGATTCAGCCCTCCGTTGATGTGTTTCACTATTTTAACTCCATATTTATCGGCTCTTGTCAGGAAAACGATAATAGTAGATAAAATCACAGACATCAATGGTGCAATGGCCAGCAACCAAAAGAGTTTCTTGTCCCTTTTGATAAAGAAGCAGCTTAGCCACAGCCACAACACAACAGCTCCAACAGAGCAGCAGCTGGAGCTCCAGCAACTCCACAACAGCACAGCCACAGCCATAGCCACAGCCACAGCACAACAATAATCACAGCAGCTCCAGCATCTCCAAAGCAGAGTAGCAGCCATAGCAACTCAGCAGCTTCAGAGCAATAGCTCCAATAGTCACGTGTGTATTATCAAGGCTAGGTAGTTAGTTTGTTAGAGTTTAACTATAGTTTAGTTAGACAGTTATGGTTAGGTTAAGTAAATCACTCTTGTATATATACTATCTTCTCTATATAATGTTGATTCATTCAGAAAATCAATAAAATAGATATTTTCTTGTTTTCTCTTTCCTTTTACCCAGATCACAGAATCACAAAGTAAGTATACACTAGAATTGCGGTAGACAAAGAAATTCTATAGACCACCACCTATGTTTGATCTTGGTTATTTTTGTTTTTATGTGAAAAAATAAATGAATAAATAAAAAATAAAACAACAAAAATGAAATTGCCAATTATGGTTGTTACTTACCAGGAATCTAGTAATTAAAATGAAAGTAAGAAATGAGCAACCAAGGATGAAGCTGTAAGGATTCCAAACCATTCTTTATATGGTACACCCTAAGAGAAACACGACGAGTTTAAATTCATAAATGAAAAATCGAAATCTTCATGAATCAAATCTGCAACTGATCCATTTATACTATTTATAATTGGTCTTTGACTCTTTGAGATGTATAGCTAAATATAGAGAATATATATATATATATATATATTTTCTGAGTAAGAGAATACAGAGAAGAACTAAAAAGGACTCTAGATGTCGATTCATGCCCCAACAACGACTAAAGCAAGCAAAATCATTAGTAATGATTATCATAGATTCTTCCAGTTAATAACTTATTTTATACATCATCTCCAAACACCTTTTGATAAAACAGTGCAAATGCTCATATAATTCAAAGTTAAGGCATCTTGAAATTTTAACCTCGCTAATAAATATTGTAGAAAATTCATATACGAACAAATTTCAAGGGTAGCTCTTTAAAAAATACATTGTTAAGTTAAAAAAACAAATTGACATCACGACATTCTTTACCTGTTCTGTGACCGGAGAAGTTAACACAGCAGCATTTGCCCTTAGAAGAAAATGCATCAAACTACATATACGATGACTCAGAGAGCACTTGTAATATGCCTAGGTTGTATTACAAGAAAACCCTTTATTGTGAAGTTCAGTTGAACCTAGTCATTGCAAAATTAAGCAAAATAAGTCAAAGTGAAGACACCAGCATGTTTATACTATGTATATTATTGCCCCCATTGATAATAATTTGACTATATTTTTAATAATTCTCTTGCACAAAAGCTCGTAATACTACTATTTCTTGCAGTTATAAATCATCTAAAATGTAAGATATTTTATGAAAATATTAAATAAAATAACTATAAAAAAATAAATAAAAAAACTCAAAAACTATTTTTGAAAGCTCAAAACCAAATAGAGAATATAGATGATTTATGTAACCAAATCCTTGGAGATGAATGAAAGCAATCAAAGTTTTGCAAATGAAAAGGATTCTTATCGATGTTTCGCCTATTCTGACACAAAGGATTCTGTTAGAAGCACTAAAGACCGTAGAGAATAAAATTCTCAATGGCCATCTTAATTCTAAAGGTGCAAATATTGTGGACTACAAATAGGAAATTCATTCGATGTAATCTCAATCAATTCTAGGAAAATATTCTCCCGCTGAATTTTGAGCAACAAATAGTACAAGCATCCATCTTGAGGACTCCATAATTCTGGTATCATTTGAAACAATTCCACAAGCTTAGAAAATCACTTCTTTATTTATTTATTTATTTTTCCCTACTAAACACAGAGGACTTCAAATACTTCCACAATTACCTCCACCTCCTCAGAGTTCAAATTTCCCACAGCAATATAATACAATTTAGACCACAAAATTTCCTGTTGGATGATACCATTTCTTGTCAAGGAAAAGACATAAAGAATAATAACCTAATCCACCACAATTTTTTTTAATCATACAATATATAACAGTAACATTACCCCCCTTATTACCATGAATAATGTTCCAAGACAAAATTGTATTAGGATACAATGGGTCTTCTATCCACTCAACAAGGCTTTCTCTACCTGCAGAATTGTCATAAATAAGTGTGAAGAAACTAAAAACATTTTTGTATGTGTTGAGGCTTAAAATGTTTACATGTGTATATCGATAAACTTATAACTTAAGAGGGTTCATAGTTCTTGTAATTGACAGATTATTTTGGAATATTTGCTATATTAAAGCTGGTACGGCTACAACATAGTGCGTAGCAGTGGACATGAGATAAGTAACAGGTTTGGAATTCCTAGTGGGAGAAGATAATAGATTTTGAAGCAATTGGATTAAAATATTCCTATACATAAAAGTCAAACTTTCTGGAAACCTAAATATATGCTCACATATGAATAACAAAGATAAACTCCCTCATACTCATTGATGTCACTCTCTGATACGATTAAACACGACTCATTAAACCACAACAATTCAATATGTATCAGATAACATCTGCATGCTTATCAGGATGATTCCAATGTGCTCCTTGAGGGACCTAAATGTTAGTAAACCATTTCAAAACAAAATCAAAAAGGGTCTCCAGAAACTACATTTCTTTTAATCCCCGACATTATCAAAAAAGAGTTTATAGACTTGAAAAGTACCATGTACAATTGCATCCATAAAAAAGCACTATTTGTCATGCCATAATTTCATGATTGAAAAGTTTAAATTTACCTTGGGATATTACAAGGGACAAAGGGGCAGAACTTGGGGATTTGGCATTGTATGAAATATTCACTTTAGACCCTTTGTTAAGAAAGTATGCCCACTCCTGCAACGCAAGAACAAATTTAATTGCAACTATTATTCAAAACATATGATCAGTGTCGAAAAGTCAGTGCTTCAATGTTACTAAGAAGACAAAAATAAAGGGTTGAGAATCTAAAACACCTCCATTTTGAGTTCCTGATATTTCAAATAGAAAATAATAAAAACACTTAAGTCCATGCAAGGATCATGAGACCTATATTTCCAAAGTAAGTACATTTGTGATGGTAACTACAAAACAGTGGTTACAGTGGCTTAACAGTCTGATGATTCCACATTCCTGAATGCAAGCAATTAGAACTCAATTAAAGATAATAAAAGTGCACAAGTTTATCAAAGCAATACAAGTATGAAGACAGTATAATAGTCTTATAGAACAAGTGTTACTATCTAATGCAACTAGGAAATAAACCTAGATTGAGAGAGAGAATGGCAGACCAAATTCAATTGCCTCATATCAGTTTCTGTACGATAAACCCATTTTTAACAACAAAAAGTTCAAATTAAACACTGAAGCCAAAAGTACTTGAGGGTTAATAATTGATATATGACCAGGTAAAGAACAATTACTCCAAATTGTGAGAAACCCATCTGGTATTATCAACAAAAAATTGAAATTAAATTAATATGGCTAATTCAAGTTCCTTGAGAATATGGGTTTAAAAGCTAAAAAGAAACAAAAGATGCGTTGGCCCAAGAAGGAATTTGAGGAGAGAGAAAAAGAAGTGAAAGAGCTCTGAAGAGCAGCCATTGCGGCCATTGTTGTTGTGACTCTCGAAGATTGCTACTTCTGCAACGAAAGAGAACGTTCTCTCTCTAACCCATCTCTCTACGATCTTAAACTCATGAAACCCATCCATAAAATATTCCTTTTTTTACAGAGACCTTCTCAAAAACCCCCAAATCAGGTTTTGTATTCGACCCACAATGTGATTGGGGGCTAATCAATGGCTCCGAAGATCGAAGACTCTTCGAACCCTCAATCTCTCCTTTCACACCTACTTTCTTTTCAATACCCTCTGACAACAGTGTTGCTAAGATTTTGGAGAAGCTTAGGGAGGATGCCAAGGGTGAGAGACGCCATTGTTGTGGTTGAAACAGGGCGGCGCCACCACGTCGTCGTATGGGGTACTGCACATGGTGTTACGGCCGCTGAAAGAGAGAGAGAAGCGAAAGAGATTAGGGCAGGACTGGGCTAGGAGCGAGAATGAATTAGAGATTTCAGATACACAACCAAGAAGAGAAGAGAAGCATGAGACTATGATAGATACCTTTGATTTCAGATACACAACCGAAGAGAACAGATGAGATGATCCCTGGTAACCCTAGCAATTGATTCGACCTTCATCATCATCACAAAGAGAGAAAGAGAGAGAGAAAGAGAGATTGAAATGTTCTATCGAGGAAGGCAAAATAGTTATTTTGAGAAAAAAAAATTAATATATATATTTTTTTTTTTTTATTGGCGCTCCAAATTTTATTTTGGCGCTTTTTTTTTTTTAAATCATACAATTCACGGCATATATTGTGCATCATAAAAAGGTAATACTTTTAATGGCAGGCGATATGTACGTCGTAAAAAGTGCAATACTTTTAATGGCAGGCATTGTGTACGCCGTGAAAAGTATTCACTTTTCACTTCTGGCGTATGCGTGTCGTGTATAATTGATGTATTAACGGCACGCCATATGCACGTCGTAGAACGTTTTATTCATCGTTATTACCATTCACGGCCTACACAATAGACACGCCGTGGTTGGAAAAGTATTTACAACGTACAAAAAAAACAAGTCGTAAAAGTGAGAAACTACGACGTGCATTTATTTTATGCCGTTGATGTGGTGTCGTAAAAAGTCAGTTTTGTTGTAGTGTGGGTTGATTTATACCATATTTTGAGGGCATTACATAGCCTATTCAAAATAAACAAAACATGAAGCTCAATGCTATTGCCTTGGTGGAGGATTACCATCATTACTTGAAAATGTTATTCCCAAATAGAGTGAGCCACAACCCAGTAGAAATTATCTAACACAGTATATGAAACTTAGCAAAGGTATAAGTACAAGCGCATAGACAATGCGTGTGGTAAAACTTTCTACAATTTCAAGCCTTAATCCATTTACTTCCAATCCACATTTCGATTACTTATCTTTCTCAATTCATGAGTCAATTTTCATTATTTCACAACAACCGAACTGAGACTACAACTCAATTATTTTCAATATATAAAACACATATGCATAAACACTTCAAGCTTCCATTTCACGGATATTTCGTCCGTGGGCAGCCGTCAAACGGGACCCATGTAAACGTAGGTTATACAAGTACTACAGTTGCCATTTTACGGATATTTCGTCCGCGAGCTAGACACCCAAGTATAATTTCGAGACTTTCATCCAGGACAGTCTAGCCAACTTAATTATAATGAAGTCCATCCCCTTTTTCCTCCCAATCAAATATCCATACATATGCAATGTATTTTAACAGATAATCAAACGTAAAGCGCATCTCCTTTCCACTTCCAAACAAACGTACATTTGCAATGTATATAAACAAGGTCATATACAATGACAACCATCACAAGATAAGTTTCAATTCACCTAATCCACAAGAAATTTCTACAACAATCAAAGTTATCCTCCACCGATAGCCCAATACAGTTATCTCTAGACAAATATTCAATCTCAACAGATAGTTTATTCAAAATTTCCAAAAGAATGAGTTAATACATAATCAATTCCACCATTTATATCAAGGCCCTCTCAACTTCACATTTTCAATTCTAATTCCAATTATTTACACAAATAAATAGTTTGACCTAATTAGGGAAATTTCCCCATTTTTCCCAAACATTAAACAAGTGCCAAAATCATCAAATTAGACATAACACAACCTCATTTTCAAACCCCACAAGCATTTTATTCCATCTTCATCGAAAACCCTTCTTTTCATTTTGTGCTCAAACCCTAGGTTTGTTTAAAATATCCCCAAATCACACTATTGTTACACAAGTGACAAATAACTAAGCTAAAAATCATATGAAGGTGTAGAAAGATCCCTACCTCAAAAGAGAATACGAGCCAAGCATGAGTGAAACCCCAAGAATGCCGAAACCCACTTCTATTTGGTTCAAAATGAAGATCTTGATGAGCTCTACCTTTTTCTCAAAGACACTAGGGTGGAAATCCCAATGGATCTAGATGAAATCTAAGAGAGAAGGTGGAGTGTAGAGAGAGAAGCTCAAGAACAAGCTTTTTGGAAAGTTTTAGAGAGAGAGAGAGAAGAAAAAGTGGTCCAAAATGTCATCTTCTCAGAATGAAGTTCATGCAGTCCGCTCGAGCGTGGAAAGCCCTACTCAAGCGTCAGACACATAGTTCCGCTCAAGCGTGAAAGTTGGCGCTCGAGCGTGGAATGCACATTTCCAGAAGTTTTGCAAACAAAGGTCCCCGCTCGAGCGTGGGACTGGAAGCTGGAGTGTCCAATGCACTTCCCCAGTATTTCAAAATTGAAAAAGAAATGCTAAGAGTTGACAAATTCCGCTCAAGCGCAAGAATGGCCGCTCGAGCGAAGGAGCAAAATTGATGAAACTCGCTCGAGTGCAAGAATGCACGCTCGAGCGGAAGAGCAAAAATCTGGGCAATAAAAGTTTGGAAAAACAAGCAACCAACCTGTCCCAAACGTACAATTACAACCCAATAACCAAAATAAAGGGGAAGATAAGGGAAAAAGATATGAATAACTATTCAAAACCATACCAACCCGAGTCCGGAATACAATAGATAACGGGTCAAAACAAGAATCACTATAACCTCCACCTCTTAAAGAATTTCATCCCCGAAATTACAAATCAAGTTCACAAATATAGTTAAACCATTCCCAACAATACAATTCCCACAAATTCAATACCATGACCCATCCTCCGGTCATCCATTCTCACTGACTCGATGCACAAGTCCCACATTAAAATGGAATTTACAAATTTCCAAAATGTTTGCAATGTTAATCAAAACCCGCATTGTCAGAATTTTCACAACATATACAATGTGTCCCAAAAGTGACATAACATCCACAATATTCCATATTCTCAAAACATATACATTGTTTACATTGAATTCACAAATTTCAAAATGCCCATAACATATACAATGTTCTCATAATCTAATATATATGCAATGCTTACACTTTTCATCATTATAATCAAAATATCAATACATGTTTAGATATTAGAAAACAAGTTCGGATATTTCTCTCGGACTTCCAATTCACGCTCCCAAGTCGCTTTCTCCACCCCTTGATGTTTCCACAATATCTTCACTAAGGGAATTGTCTTACCTCGCAAGACTCGGTCTCATCTATCCAAGACTCTCACCAGTCTCTCCTCAGATGAGGCATCTTCATCTACCCCCAAGTCGGTCCATTTCAACACGAGCGATGGATCCGGCTCGTACTTTCGAAGCATACTAATATGAAACACGTCATGAACCTCAGAAAACTGTGGCAACAATGCCAACTGATAAGAAACCTCCCTAATTCGCTCAAGGATTTCAAAAGGACCAATAAATCGTGGGGACAACTTCCCGCTCTTCCCAAATCTTATCAAACCTTGCCTAGGTGATATTTTGAGGAACACATGGTCTCCCACCTCAAAAGACAAGGGTCTCCTTCTATGGTCGGCGTAACTCTTTTAGTGACTTTGAGCCGTAACCAACCTCTTACAAATAAGTGTTATCTTCTTTGTCGTTTTCCGAACTAACTCTGGGCCCAACAAAGGTGCATCACCCACCTCGGCCCAACATACAGGGGATATACACAGTCGGCCATACAAGGCCTCAAATGGTGCCATGCCAATACTAGATTGGAAAATGTTGTTATAGGCAAACTCCACTAAGGGCAAGTGCCTCTCGCACGACCCCTTAAAATCAAGCACACAACCTCGAAGCATATCCTCAAGGATCTGAATAGTATGTTCAGACGGCCCGTCAGTCTCAAGATGATACACAGTACTAAAGGTCAATCTAGTGCCCAAGGCACTCTGCAAACTCTGCCACAACTGAGCTGTGAAATGCAGATCTCTATCCGAAACAATCGTCACAGGGATTCTGTGCAATCTCACTATGTCCCTAATATTCAAGTCGGCAAGATGGTCTACAGAATCACTCACGTGCATAGGTATAAAGTGCGCGGACTTGGTCAATTGGTCAACTGTCGCCCAAATTGTGTCACTACCTCGTTGAGTCCTCAGGAGGCCCGCAACAAAATCCATTGTAATATGCTCCCATTTCCACTCAGCTATAGGCAAGGGTTGCAACAAACCCACTAGCCTCTAATGCTTGGCCTTCACTTGCTGACAAGTAAGGCACTTTGATACGACTCCACCAAAACAGGCGACTCAGATCATGATACATCTTTGTGCCTCCCAGATGCATCGCAAGACAAGAATGGTGAAACTCTAGGAGTACTTCCTCTCAGCCAGACTCCGGTACAAACAAACGGTCTCGGTATCTAACACTCGAGTCGGGATACACACTCAAGCCCCGTTCCATTTTCCCACTAGAGATCTTCTCCCTGATGGCTTCTACCTTAGGGTCGCCCCTCTGCACTTCCAACACTCGATTCACAAGTGTAGGTTGTGTAACAGCTGAAAACAAGGCCGCAGATTCAACGGACTCACAAGTGTAGGTTGTGTAACTGCTAATAGACTTTTTTCTCAAAGCATCGGCCACTACATTGGTCTTTCCGGGATGATAATGCAACTCAAAATCATAATCCTCTATGAACTCCATTCACCTCCTTTGCCATAAATTCAAATCCTTCTGTGTAAATAGATACTTCAAACTCTTATGGTCGGAGAACACTTCAAATTTCTCACCATATAGTTAATGCCTCCAAATTTTCAAGGCAAATATCGCCGTTGCCAGTTCTAGATCATGAGTGGGATAGTTCTTCTCGTGTGTTTTTAGTTGCCGCGAGCGACAGGCTATTATTTTCTGCTTTTGCATCAAAACGCAACCTAAACCTTCTTGTGAGGCATCACAATATACTGAATAACCCAAACCCCTCTCCGGAATAATCAAAACTGGAGCAATAGTGAGTCTAACTTTAAGTTCTTGGAACGACTTCTCACAAGTCTCATCCCACACAAATTTGACACCCTTCCTCGTCAGCCTAGTTAAAGGTTGAGCTAGTTTAGAGAAATCCTTCACAAATCTCCGATAATACCCAGCCAACCCCAGAAAACTACGAATCTCGAAGGCATTCTTAGGTTGTGCCCAATCTTGCACTACCTCTATCTTGGATGAATCTACCGTCACCCCTTCCCTGGATACCACACGGCCTAAGAACTTAACTTCCCTCAACCAGAATTCACATTTTTGAAACTTAGCATACAGTTTGTGGGCTCTATGCAACTCA